GGACTCGGAGGCGCTGCTCAGCCAGGCCAAAGGACTCGGCAGTGAGTGTCCTGCCCGCGGCCCCAGGGCTCCCCGGGCCGCAGCGGGGAGGGGTGACCCCACCCAGCGCGGGTATCGGTGCTGGCGGCCTTCCCGCGGTGAAAAGGCTTGAGTGAAGGGATAGCTTCGCTTGTTGGGGGGCTGTGTTGTGGCATCTTCACAGGGCGAGTGCTACTTTGGGTCTGTTTTTAAAAAATAGTCTTAGCAGTGAAACTCCTTAGTGTGGTGAGAGCAGGTGGCAACTGGAGGAGTGAAGGTGGGCCAGTTTAATGCACATTGCAGGTTGTAGAAACTGCCAGTAGCTGTCACATCAACCGAAGCTTTTGTTGAACTAAACAGTTAAAGGTACTTTATGAGTTAAGCATGTGTACTCTCAGTTCAACAAACATAAACATCACTTTTCGTCTAGATAGCTACAATTTCACTGCAGCTTGCACCGTGATGCAAAATAGGAAAAACAGGTTTGAGGTGACTGGAATACTCTCTAAATAAATTTTTAAAAAAGCATCCCTAATACATTTCTTTTCAGATGTAAGTGGTAATTCGGGTCAGTTTAGATAGTATGGAAAAAAATCTCAGTGAAGAGGTGTTAGAAGTCATTATTCCCTACCCTATTTTATGTTTTCACATATCTTTGTTTTGCATCTCTTTTAAATTATGTTTGTTAACTGCAGTCTATGGCAGGCGTCATTACTGTGTAGTTTTTCATGCAGTTTGTCCAGGATCTTCCACAGTTCTGAAACAATCCTATTTAATTACTAAAGCTGGAGGTTTGGAAGTGACTTCATTTTTTCTGCTTTTCTGAGATTCTTTTCAAATAGCAGTTGCTGGCAACAAGAAATATTCCATTACGTTCCTAAAATTTCTGGGCACAGGTTGTTGTTACAAATGAGTTAAAAGAAAATCATCAAACACCATCACTTTCCTATGGAAAAAAAAATAACCACAGAAACCCCACACCACTTTATGAACTACATTATTCTATACACAAACATCACTTCTCACATAGCAACAACAAAAGAGATACTTAAATAAATGCTGTTCATTTAGTAACAGTTCTGAAAAAGATGGTAACTGAAAGGAACATATTTTAATTACCCAAAAAAAAAAAAAAAAAGCTTTTTTTTTTTTAGAATGGGTAATTAAAGTATGTTCCTTTCAGTTACCATCTTTTTCAGAACTGTTACTAAATGAACAGCATTTATTTAAGTATCTCTTTTGTTGTTGCTATGTGAGAAGTGATGTTTGTGTATAGAATAATGTAGTTCATAAAGTGGTGTGGGGTTTCTGTGGTTATTTTTTTTTCCATAGGAAAGTGATGGTGTTTGATGATTTTCTTTTAACTCATTTGTAATGAGGCAGGGCTGTAGTTGGCTATAGCTAAGAATTATGGTTTAGTAAAGTAGCTTCTTAGGTAAATTTAATCCAACGTAAAGCTCCGTAAGTGTGGAAGTGTTATGTGGGTTTTTTTACTGGGACCCTGAAATGCATAATCTTAAAGGTTCTTTACTGTGTTTTCCCCTGGACATTCTGAGCTGCAACAGATTATCTGTGTACTTTAGTCAAATACTTTTCTTGTTGTTGTAAATCCATCCTAATCTGGTAGTCAAGATGATTGTTTGGAAGGGGAAATAAGACTGAATTTTCAGGGGAAGAGTAAGTATTTACTGTTGCAGATATAAAGCTCCATCCCATAATTTGCTCTGGAAGTAAGAATTTGGTGTAGTGATTTAGGGATTCTTTGTATCCCCCGAGAATACCATGGTGTAAAGACTTTTCTGTAAGGGTTTGAACGTTATAGTTTTAACTCATTATAATTTTAGAATGTTAGATGTTTGTCATCTGCATGACTAACAACCAAGGTAGCTGTGTAGAAAGACTCCCCTAGCACATTTTAATTTTACTGGCAAAACTGAAGCCTTACATACGTTATTTCTGGCTCATTATGACATCATTGCAAAGGTTAGAGTTTCCCAATATGAAATAATAATAGACTTATTGCTAGGTACATATTCTTAATACAGACATAGATTTGTAAGGTGGGAGCAAACTTGCATGGTCTTTTGAAAGTGGAATTGTTGTTTCTCCACCACTAATTCTATTTTCCTAAGGCTAAGAGCCACCTCTTACTAAGGATTTGTAAGTAACCTGGTTCAGAATAATACTTGTCCTTAATGGGAAGAAAAGTCATTTTGCTATTTTGCTCTTTAGACTGGCTTCAGGACTGGCCAAAGCCTCTTTGTCCAACAATACCAAAATGTTGCTGGACAGTATATGTTTCAGAACCATTTGCAGCTAAACCATATGAAATATTTGGAGCATGCATATAAAAAAGTTTCCAGGGATACATAAAACAATCAAAAAAAGCTGTTAGGGTGAGGAAAAAATCCAGTAGGTTGCTGCCTTTTCTTCCATCCTAAGGGGGACAGTATATATGTCTATATCTCAGGTGTAGAAGGTAGGCATTTTTTTGCACAATATGAAGTGTGTGATGGTTTTTCTAGCCTGATATCAGATATGGAAGGTGCTAGGAAGTACTTGAACAAAGTTTGGTTACTACCTTTCTGTGGCTTATAAATGGAAGTTATGTATAAAACAACTGACTTGTTTGAGTGCTGACTAAACCTCTGCATTTGTCAGCATTGATTGGTTATGTCATTGAGAAGATGCTTGATACGCCACAAAGAACAGTCAGCTTTCCAAAAGGTGACCTGAGTGTTCTGAAGTAACTCGTCCTATCATTGGCTAACAACTGCATGTTAAAACAACTCAATTTTTTATTTATTTTTTATTTTTATTGCAAGGTTATTTCTTACATTTCTAACCAATAAGGAAACTGGAATTTTTGTAAAGTCTTGTGAAGGAAGACTGTTTTATTTGTTTTTGCTTGAAACAGAAGTACTGTTTTTTGGAAGTCGTATATTTAGAAGTCAAAGTTGATTTTCTGGAATAACTAAAATATTCTTACATCCCATGTGCTTTGCATCTTTACTAGTGCCGCAAATATGTCTTTGGTAGTTACTGTGCAGTTTAGATCCACTATTGCTAATTCTAACCCTAGAATTAAAATAGGATCAGATACTTCAGTTGGAAGAGACCTGCAGCGGTTATATAGTCCAACTGCTGGATGACTTCAGGGCTGACCAAAATTAAAGCATGTTAAGGGCCTTGCACAAATGCCTTTTAAACAATGACAGGCTGAGGGCGTTGACCACCTCTAGGAAGCTTGTTCCAGTGTTTGACCCCCTTCTCATTAAATAAAGGCTTCCTGTTGTCCATTCTGAAGCTCCCTTGGTGCAGCTTTGAACTGTTCCCACATGTCCTGTCACCAGGTACTTCGGAGAAGAGCTGAGTACTTCCCTCTCCACGGTCTCCTCCTCAGGAAGCCGTAGACTCCTGAACTGCTCCTTATACCAGCCCTTTCACTAGCTTTGTTGTCCTCTGGACACATTCAAGGCCTTTAACATCCTTCTTAAATTATGGGGCCCAGAACTGCATACAGTGTTTGAGGTGGGGCTGCACCAAGGCTAAATACAGCAGGATGATCATCTTTTTTGACTGGCTAGTCATACTGTTTGATGCTTCCCAGGATGAGGTTTGACCCCTTGGCTGCCAGGTCACACTACTGGCTCACATTGAGCCTGCTGCCAACCAGCATCCCCAGGTCCCTTTCTGCAGGGCTGCTCTCCATTTATACTTGTGCCCAGTGTGACTCCATTCCAGGTGCACAGTCTGGCATTTAGCTTGTTGAATTTCATCCCATTGATAACTGCCCAGTGATCCAATCTATCTAAATCCCTCAGCAATCATTATATTTACTGTGGCGCTTACTGGCATTGTGTCATTGTACACACTGTAACTGTGATCTTATGGTCATAATACAACTGTTAAAATGTAATAAAGGGCTTGTGACATCACGTCATTTTCTGATAAATAAATAATGCCAATGTTGGTTTAAGATCCTGTAAATAAACTGATATTTAATCAGTTTCTGGAAGTCTGTGATATACATCTTGCTCTTGCAAGTTTGTTCTCCTTAATTAAAAAACAAACAGTACAGGGCAATTGTCCATTCTGCTTTGTTCCTTCCCTGCCACCTTTCTTCACTCAGTACTGCTAATATAAAAAATGCTAATTAGTCTTTGAAAATAGCAGTTACTGCTGTTCTAACACTGAACCTATTCAGAAAATTGAGCAAACAGGGCCACAGTGTTTCTTACGGAGCTTTTAGCTTAGAGGAAGACAATGCAAAACAGAAAAGGGCGAACACCAAGACCAAGCTTCTATTTTAAGATTTCTGAAGGAATCTCAAGTGTTACTTGCCTAAAATTTTTAATGCATTTACTGCCTTACTTCATGAGATTTTATTGTGCATGTTAATTTTCCTAAAAAAAAAAAAATGAAAAAATTTCTCTTTCCATACCCTTACTAAAGTTACCTTATTGTTTAATGCCTCCAAAACACTAAAATGGAATTAGGAAAGATATAATTTCAGAAAATTAGTTGGAAAGTGATATTTCAAGGATTGATTTAGTAAATAAGGTTTGTACATAAAGTTTGATTTACAGAAAGTTGTGATAAAACATACAGTTTGATCGTCATCACTAAACAATACGAACTAGAAAAGGATAAAAAGGATTTTAGTAGTTCTTGCAGGTCAGAAGCTAGCTAAAAGGGATTTAAAAGAAGATTTTGAGCAGACATACAAATATCTAAAGAGAAAGGAAAATCTAGTAAGAAACCTGAACGTAAAAAGGTCTTTTTTCAGCTCTTTTTCTTCTCATCTGTGAAAGGTTACCTCTTCAATTTTGCCACTGCCGCTACGAAGAAAATATCTGAATCTGTTGCCGAAACAGCACATACAATAAAGAAGTCTGTAGAAGAAGGAAAAATTGACAGTATCATTGACAAGGTATTTTATTTCTAGATACTTGATCTGAAAGATCTGCTTGTTTATTGTTGAAATGTCTAGCAAAACTGGCATGTGATAACACTTCCTTAAGGTGGCTTGAGGAGTTACATATTTCAAGAGCAGATATCTCCTATTATGATATATGATGTGACTGAGATATTTACTCAGGGTGGACATGCGAAAAAATGGGCACTCTGCTTTACTCCGTACTGCACCTGTGTTCCATTCCCTCAGGATGTAGATATACTGGAGAAAAAAAACAGGAAAGTATGAAAAGTGCTGACATAGGAGAAAAGGCTGGAGGAGTTAGTAGAGACATGCAGTTGAGGGATGTCTAGAAGTTGTATGGGTTGCTTGTTTTTTTTCCCCAGTTTATTTAGGTGGAAAGAGGAACACCATGCCTGCATCTTAGATGCATCTCTGAAGCAAGATTCAGAATTAGGTCAGCTGTGTGGTTATTGTATACTGAGACTCTAGAGCTATACAGGTTTCATAAGACCCAGTGAGTTAATGAAACAGCTTACTGTTGTCCTGTTCTTTCCCCAACCCTGCCACTTATCTTTTGCCCTCTCTGTTCCTGGCTGGCAGATCCAGTTGCTTAACTTCTGCCAGCAAGTGTTCTTTCAGTGCTTTAAGTTGGGTACTTGGCAGAAAGAAAAACAGCTTAAAAAGGCAGCACTATGTGCTATGTAGTGATCTCTGGTTTTTAGGAATGGTAACTTGCAAGGGGGAGTGAAAGGGAGCTAGCCAAAACCAACCCAGCTGTAGTGGGACTGTGCATCCCAGAGTGTCAGACATGGGAGATGCAGCCAGACCCCTCCTCCTGTTGCTGTCTCTCAAACGCCCCTGCAGGGCAACTACAATGTTTCTTTGTGGTGCTTTTTTTTAATAGAGTGAAATTAAATTCTTGATAAAATTGGTCTTCATGTTGTCTTCCGAATTATTTGTCAAATGACACTTGAGAATTCTGTTGCAATCAAATTTTGTCTCCAGATTTCTTTGACTATTTAGTGACAACTGTCTATATATATAGCAGAGCTATATTTCCTAGTACAGTAAATTATAGTCTAACGTAATTTTGATCTATATGAAAAAGGAAAAATCATGTAAGAAGATTATTTGGTAATTTAATACACAAATACTAATGCTCAAACTGTAGCAAAGTACCTACAGCAAATGTATGCCTAAAATACAATTTTATTTTTTGTGTGAATACCTTAGAGTAGTATGAATTCCATTTTGACTAATAATTTGACATAGGGGAGAAACAGATGGGAGATACATTGTAAAGATTTTGTCTTACACCGTATAAATTATTTTATTCCATAAATACTAGAAATTAGTATAACTTAAAACCAGGAGGAACAGCAGTTATCTATTTGTGTAACAGGCAGTACAGTGGTTCTCTCACTAATGTGAAACTGAAATGTGGGGTTCTTGAAAGAAAAAAACATTTCTAGAAATTAATCAGGATTTAACTTGAAGATTTGCATGCTTTTTGGAAACTTGTTAAGCCATAGACCTCACTTTTTGAGATTTTTATGTAGCAAGTGCTCTGTGTTCATTCATCTTCATGGATTTTGCCTCTGCTTTCAACTACAGAACATTGGCATTGTTACTTCTAGTTATGGTGCACTGGCTTTTGAGACCATTCTCCGTTTTTTAATTCTAAATCCCATGTAGAATATTTCTGAACATATTTTTATTTGTAAACAACATAAATAAATTGAAAAATTGTTTTCTTTCAGCCTAATTTTCATTCTGAAAATCATTTAACAGTTTTAATAGTCTGATTTATTACATTGGATACAATTTTAGGCAGCTCTTGAAACTTACTGTAAGACCAATGGCATCTTTAAATGTTTACTGTTTTAAAAACATGTTTAAATAGGTCTAAATAGTCTGTTATCTGTATTTGATATGGTGAGGTGCTATCTGTATAGGCACAGCATGCTGATGTTCAGATTATCATTTAGGGTTTTCTTTTTTTTTATGTCCCCTGAGCTTGATAAAACTATCATTTTGAAAGCATACATAGAAAGGCAAGATCAAATGTTTCAGTAAAGGGAAATGTGATTTATGTGAAACACCTTTAACTTACAAAAAGAGCCACAAGGGATATAAGGATATGATATTACAATATATTTTAAGTTATTTTCAGAGTGAATGTGAAACAGGAGTGATTTTTTTTTTTTTAATTGTGGTTCCCTAATTTTTATTTTAGACAATTATTGGAGATTTTCAGAAGGAACAGAAAAAATTTGTCCAAGAGCAGCAAACAAAAAAATCAGGTAATGTATGATTTTTTTGATAATGCTATCATTACATAAGCTAATACTTGCTGGAAGCTGGATAATTGAAGTATATCTAAACCTAATCTATCAGAACTCTGTTTCATGAAACACATTATGGTGGAATCTAACATATATTGTGGAATAGGAAAATAACATTTTTAAGTGAGACTATTATTACGTTATCTAGTTGGTTTAGATTTCCTTTTTTTAACTAAATTCAGCTTTATGAAAGGAATTCAAAATTCACTGCTAGCAAAGCTGATCTCTGATTGTTTTGAATCTTGAGCCTGTGAAAACAGACATAGTGATTACCTTTCTTTTGAGCTTCAGCAGTCATGTCTCATTTTTGTAATGACATTAAAAACTGGGGTAGGGTTTGCACTATAGTATTTAATGTTTTGCTATAGGAATTGCTCTGCATACATTACAGGCATAATTGCTCTTTTGCTTTCCCTTAAGTCATTTGCTTTATAATTATCTGTGATCTAAATCCTTCAATTTATCCACCCATGTACTATTGACATCAGTAGATCTTCATCAGAGACTTCAAAATAAGCACAATATTTTTTATGTTGTGTTTCATCATTGCCTTTTCTCTCTTTTAATGTGTTACCTGAATACAGTAATTTCTGACAGTCTGAATAATTAGTGGTTCTATTGTTAATCTTGAAAATGAGCTGGTTTTAAATGGATCATGGTAAAATTTTTCATACTGTCTGTAGTTAGTATGTTAATCTGGTTTCTTCTTACAAGACTGCTTATGCAATTGTGTTGCCTGTATTTCTAGCTTTTTATCTCTTTTAGTAAACTTCGGCATCTGTTAATATATTTCTACAAGTTTCATGGAAATAGGTCATTAGATTGACAAAATAAGGAGTAACAGATGGCCTAACTGAAAGGAGCATTAGCATCAGATGTGAATCCATGTGGATGAAAGATCTTGCTGATGTCAGGTGCATAGGCAAATAAGCAGTTTTAAGTACACAAGAATTATTTGTAAACTGTTACAGATGCATCATAATGTACTTTCAGGCTGGATTTGCATTGACAGTTAAGAGATTAATGGAGTTCTATAGACCTACAATAGTTTATTTTCCTCTATGTACAGCCTACAGAAGTATTTTGAAGTATCTGTAAATATAGAAATCAGCTGAACTCAAGTACGCTTATTCAGGGTATAACATTGTAATTTATAACAAATTTATAACTTATCTTGCTCCATTAATTAAGTAATTGGTGTCTTCTGGCTGTTAGAAAATTAATGCAATAGTAAATTATTTTGAAAACTTTGTTTAGACAAAGTTTCCGTGTTTAAAGTGAATCTAGAAATTTCTATTTGCAGGCAGCTTAACCAGTTATACAGCACTATTTCAGTAAGTGAGCTCAGAATGCACCAAGTTCTGACTGAAGAGACTGCAAAGGAATTTCCACAGTTTTAGTTTTACAATAGCAGAAATCAGCAAGCATTTATTTTTTGTTTACCTCTCATAAGTGAAGATCTATTCCTAGAGTTTCTCTCTTGTGCCGTGAGCTTAGTTTAGGAAAAGGGAACAATTAATTGGCTGACCAATGTAAGTCTGCTTATTTTTTTGACATAGTTACTTTATGTGAGGTGTTTTTTTGGGTTTTTTTTAAAGTAATACACATTCAATTCTTTTACTCCTTTCATAATAGAAGCAGCAGTGCCTCCCTGGGTAGACAGCAATGATGAAGAGACAATTCAACAACAAATACTGGCCTTATCAGCAGTAAGTAATTAGTTTCCTATAAGATTTGAAATTCTTCTGTTGGAGAGGTTAAAACAACTTTTTTTTTCAGTGTATGTTTGGCTGACATTATTAAATTATGTATTTTCAGTGTACTTTTAATGTGTCTGTCACTGCACATCTGCATGATCATGTGCAAGTGTACCTAGAATTTAGAATGGTTTGGCTTTGAAGAGACCTTAAAGATCATCTGGTCCTACCCCTCTGCAGTGAGCAACTAGATTTGTTTGCTCAGAACCCCACCCAACCTGATCCTCAGTGGTCCCCAGGATGGGGAATCTACCATCTCTCTGGGCAACCTGTGCCAGTGTTTTCACCACCCTCATCATAAGAAATTTCCTCGTGTGCAGTCTGAATCTCCCCTCTTTTAACTTAATATCATTACCCCTTGTCCTATTGCATCAAGCCCTAATAAAGAGTCTGTCCCAGTCTTTCTTATAGTTCCACTTTAATTACTGAAAGGGTGCAATAAGGTCTCCCTGGAGCCTTCTCTCCTCCAGGCTGAACAGCCCCAACTCTTTCAGCCCATCTTCATAGGAAAGGCGCTCCAGCCCTCTGATCATCTTTGTGGCCCTTCTCTGGACCCACTTCAACAGCTCCAGTCCTTCCTGTGCTGAGGGCTCCAGAACTGGACGCAGTAATCCAGGTGGGGTCTCACAAGAGTAGAAGGGCACAATAACCTTCCTCGACCTATTGGCCACACTTCTGTTGATGCAGCCCAGGACACAGTTGGCTTTCGTGGCTGCAAGTGCACATTGCTGGCTCGTGTCCAGCTTTTCATCCACCAGTACTCCCAAGTCCTTTCGCTCAGGGCTACTCTCAATCCACTCATCTCCTAGCCTGTATTGATATCAGTGGTTTCCCTAACCCATGTGCATGGCCTTGCTTTTGGCCTTGTTGAACCTCATGATGTTCACCTGAGCTTGTCCAGGTCTCTGGATGCATCTCATCCCTCAGGTGTGTCTGCTGCACCAGTCAGCTTGGTGTCATTTGCAAACTTGCTGAGGGTGTACTCGATCCCACTGTCTATGCCATGGATGAAGATATTAAACAACACTAGTCCCAGTACAGACCCCAAGGGACACCACTTGTCACCAATCTCCGTATGTACATTCAGCCATTTACCATTACCCTCTGGATGTGACCATCCAACCAATTCCTTATCCAGCGAGCAACCCACTTATCAAATCCACATCTTCAATTTAGAGATAAGGATGTTGTATGGGACCATGTCAAAGGTCTTTTGGAAGTCCTGATGACAGCCATAGCTCTTCCCTTGTTCACTGATGAGTCACCATCATAGAAGGTCACTAGGTTGGTCAGGCAGAACTTGCCCTTGGTGGAGCCATGCTCACTCTCTTGTATTGTGTCCCTGTCCTCTGTGTGACTTAGCATAGTTTCTAGCTGAATCTGTTCAATCATCTTCCCAGGCAAGGACCTGAGGCTGACAGGTCGGTAGTTCCAGGGTCCTCCCATCTACCCTTGTTTTTTAATGGGTTCAATGTTTCCCTTTTTCCAGTCAGCAGAGACTTCACTTGACTGCCATGACTTTTCAAATATCATATTGCTTTGACAACTGCTTCAGCTGATTTCCTCAAGACTCTTGAGTTTCATCTCATCAGGACTTACATATATATTGGTTGCTCAGGTGGTCGTGATCCTGACCTTCTCTTACAGTATGAGGGACTTTGCACCCCCAGTCCCTGCTTTGCAGTCCATCCACTAGAGAGGTGTGGGAAGAGAGATTGTCAGCAAAGACTGAGGCAAAAAAGTTTTGAGTACCTCAGCCTCTTCCTCATCTGTTGTCACTGGCAAGCCTGATGATATCTCCCTCCCCTTTTAAATAGTTATTTCAGTAGCAACTTGAGCCACAGTACATCCCAAATATAATTGACAAGATTTTATAAAGGCTTTACAGCTTTGTAATAGAATTACATGGGAGGTGGGATTGCTTGGCTGGTCGTGTGTGTGAAATGTGATACCCTTTTTCTGATACCAGTTAATGACCATAAATATGTTCTTCAAAGGATAAACGAAATTTTCTGCGGGATCCTCCAGCAGGTGTGCAGTTTAATTTTGACTTCGATCAGATGTACCCTGTTGCAATGGTGATGTTACAAGAAGACCACCTTCTCAATAGGATGAGGTTTGATCTCGTTCCTCTATATCTGGTTGTACTTTTAATATGTTTGTAAATATTCCTAAATTACTCCTTTTTCTTTTCACTGCCTTCAGTTCTTTATTTATGTACTTCCTCTGTATGTGTTTTATGTCTGCTAATTTTGAATGCATGGAGTATTGCATGTGCATTGTGGTTTAGCAATTAGAGGGAAGAACAGAAGTAGATCTGTTAGAAATTCAGAGGTAGTAAGGGCCTGTTGACTTGCGTATGGGGGAGGCCTTATATTTTTCCATGTCTAGTGTGCTATATTAATTGAAAATATTTTTCCCAAACAAAGGAAAATGCAGCAACAAAAATGTTCAGTTCTGTTGGTATAACCGACACCACAAAAAAGGTGAGAGGTGGTCAGAGACCCCATGGAGAAATGGTGAATGAATACATCACCAAAGAACAGCAATGCAATCAAGAAAAACTGAGTTTGAGTAAGCAATGGGAAAAGCTCTGTGTTGTGACTGCCTTCCTTCTAGTGGGCCTAATTAAAAGATCTGTAAAGTCTTTGTCCCATGAGTTATGGCCTGTTCCATCATGGCTTCTTGATCCAAGCTTTATTCCAGTGTTGGTCTCCTTCCTCGCCCAGTCCCAGACTCTGCTCCATAAGCTTGTTTCATAGGTCAACATTTTTGTTAAGCAGGAGTTCCCAACATTAGTCTTTTCTCTGAGGATGGAAACAGGAAACATCTTTCTTTGTGTGCTTTTCTGTCTTAAATCTCCTCCTTTTATAACCCTTCCCAGCTCCTTATTTTATTTACCCCCTTCCGCGCTGGTTTTTGTTGCTGCCGGTCCTAATGCTCTGTTCGGATTCTAGGTCTTCATGAGATCTGTCTTGATGGTCTGTCTTCAGCCTCTGTTCATGCTATCCTTGCCTATCCTACCCCACTGCATAACAGATTTATTTTTTTTTTCCTGTTCTTAGTTTCAGTAGTCACTGTTTGCCTAAATGGGTGGGAAAGTAACTTCACTCTCTTCTTTATTTCTTGACCTACACACATTCCTCCCCACAGGCCTTGCCATTTCTGGCTTCTCTTCTTTCTGGGTAAAAATTGGGTCTTTTCTTGCTTGCTGGAGGATTTTCAGAGGGAAATGTTACCTGAGAAATGGGATAGTCTCCCACTTACTCGAGCTGGTTGTTTGCAAGATGGCAGTTTCTAGTTACTGAAGGTCCTGCACATGTGCTGAGATGTGAAGATAGTGAAATAGTCCTGCTGCAAACTAGGAACGGCTTTCTGCCTATAGATCAAAAATGTTGCAGTTCCACCTGAGGTCTAGGGAAGATGTAGATTAATATAATAACAGAATGTTGTTGGGTTTAGAGAGTAATTGAACATTTGCTTGTTGGGTTTGTTTACATAATTTAGCAAGAGAGATGCAGCAGCATAATATTGTTCCAAACTGTATTGCTGCATGCTGTTAAGCTTTTCCTACAGAAATAACGTTATTGTTGTTAATTATTACTATTATTATGTTCAAGTTCATACTAACTGTCTTGTAAGAAATGAAGAATTTCTACAAGGATGGATTTTTTGAAACGGTATTAATATCACAAATTTCAAAGTTTTTACTTAGAAATCAGCTATGTCTGCTCCTTCCCTCTGCATGTTTCATTTTATTTCATTGCTTAATGGTAGAAGTAATCGTATTTCCAAAAGTAGTAATGAAAATCTGTTGGTTCTCTCTAGTGTAAAGGAGGAGGTGTTCTGGAGAAATTACTTCTACAGGGTGTCCCTAATTAAACAGTCTGCACAACTCACCGCACTTGCAGCTCAACAACAAGCAGCAGGAAAAGAAGAGAGCAAAGGCAGAGAAGAGGACAGTCAACTGAAAGGTTTGGAAGGGATTTGTTTTAGCACAGCTCATTAAGTTAGTGTCTTGCATAGTGACTGTACACATAAGGTAACACTGAACTTTTATCTCAGATTTCCTATTAAATCAGACTTTCTCTTATCAGACTTGGTCTGCTTGTCCAGATGAGGGAAGAGGAAGCCTCTAGTGCTTTTAAGGTGTTTTCCAATTTCAGCCAACTTTGTCAGAAGGGAAATCTCAAGAAGTGAAATTTTGTACTCAGCTTTTAACGGTTTAAGGCCATTAGTGTTCTCTGCTGTTCTTTTTTGTCTCCTCAGAAAGGTACCTTTGGTTCACTGGGTAAGACAACAGGTACTCGCCAGCCCAGCCAGCTGGCACATGGTTTGCTCTTGACTTTTGCTTATGCAAATTATGCAAATTTTCTTATTAGTGACATGGAGGTAGAATTGCTCACCACCCCTAGATAAGACACCTGAAGAATCTTGACAGGCTGGGTAGGCATTAGGCAGAAGGAGAACGCCCTCACTGCACCTTGGAACAGATTCTCATATCCTCAACATTAATAAATTGTCATAACCCACAAAATCCATTAATGCTGATGTCCTGTTGGCACTGTTGGCCTGTCTTACAACCAACTGATCACTGCCAAGTTGACTTCTTTCCCCCCTTTTGGATAGAATATCTTTCCATATGGGTATTTTTTCTCCTGAGTCCTTGCACTTCTAATGATCCCAGCTTTCTAAACCTACCACAGGTTCTAATTTCACCTTTCCTATCTTTTTAAAGACTTTCTCACAGCTGTTTTGCACAACTTAGTAATTTTCTTGCACAGCCTGAGGTAAGATTACTCAGCTGGGCCTTGTCTCCTTGGACACAGCCAGCTGAACCTTGGGATGAGGGGGAGATTACAAGAGGACAGAGCCAGGCTTGCATGTTACATAGAAGATACCTTCAAAAAGGAGTGTAGTCATTCACTCAGGTTTTTTTGTGTGTGTGTACCTTCACAGTTAGTTTCTCTCATTCTGTTTCTCATAGGTTCTGTTCAGAGAGTGCATGTGTTAGTGTAGGTGAGGTCCCCATCTAGAATGAGCAAAATAGTTTTCTCTGAGTTAAAATCCAAGAAATGTTGACAGAACAGGTGACTCCAGAATCTACTTCAGACCAAGAGGCACCAATTCTGACTTATTTTATCCAGGACAGTTGTCTGCTGTCCCAGTGGGCTATGTACAATGATTAACAAACATTGCAGCATATCCCCATGTTGAACAGCATGCTGTAAGTCACAGAAACACTACTCATGCTACTTCAGTTTGTAAGCTTAAAAAATTCTGGCCTCACTTGAGCATATTATATGGAGAACAGAAGACATCTAGGCCAAATCTATGTAAAGTGACCATCAGCCATGTGCCCTCCAGAGGTTGCTAGCTTTGAGGAAAGTAACTACTGCCAGCACAAACCAATGGGCTTGGGGACCAGGCTTCCCGCCATGAGAAGGTTGGCAAAGACAGTATAGAAATATTCCAACATGATTTATGTGTTTACTATAATGATGTAATTCTTTTGCTCATAGTTCAGAAGACTGTTTTTAGCAAAGGAGTAGAGAACTTGTGTTTGGGGTCATTTTTTGTTCCTTTAATTTAAAATACATGCACGGTAAGAAATGAAGTTGAGAATTACATGATAGTGAATTTTTCTGCTGTTTTCATTCTTTGTAAGCATGTTATTTTCATAGAAGCAGAAGAGCAATAGAGGAAATGTGATTATACAGAGAAATGACAGATCAGTTTTGTGACATCTGAGTCTTAAGTTTTTTTCCTTGGGAAAAAGAATTACTCTTAAATGTCCTACACTAACTCTTTTATCCTAAAAGAAAGCTTTTGTCTTCATCTTTCAGTGCAGACTGTATTTATGCTCTTTTCCTACTTCCCTGCTGCTTTCATATTGCTTACTCTCCCACCATATTCAGCTCCCATTTTTGCAATTTTCTGTGAGCAAATTGTGTTTACTGTTACCCTGTGCAAGTGCCATCAACTCAGGAAATCATTGGGATTGCCATGATTTTGTAAACCTATGCAGCTAACTGGCAGCTAAATGCATTTAGCTAATTTTCTTTCTGTCTTAGTTTTCATTATTGTTGTGATTTTTAAAAATCTTACTTAGACTTCTGTTCCTCCGGGTTTTTTATTACACCAGCTGATAGGATTATGTTATAGGCTCCTAAGAGTAGTGCCTGTCTCCTCCTTTCTGTGGTGCCTCACAACAGATCTTTGAGTATTGGATCCTTTTATTCACTATTGCAATTAGTCCTTTGTATAGGGGAAGAGATTGTGTTTGGAAAGATTAGAAATATTAATTCTTCCAAAATATATTCTCTTCACTGTTGTTTATAAGTGTATTCTCTGTGAAGTTTGTTTATGGTAAGTATGCTGTAGAAGATCTATAACAAAATGCCATGTTCTAGTCCTTCTCCAGATATTAGTAACTGTTTGCTTGGCAATGAAGTTAACTCGGGGCTAAAGAGAACATCAGCAGTGGAAAAGATGATGCCAGGCCAGTAGATCCAGAACAGTGCTTGTGGGATGTTAGTCACATCAGACTCCATGGCCCAGTGCAGAGCTGCTGTGGTGCTTCTGCATTGAGAGCAGCAGATGGAGCTTGAGGAACCTCTCTCTTGCACGGTTCTTTGGGCGCTCAATGCTGAACTGCGAAGTGTTAGTGCTGTGTTGTACAGCCTCCCCGAGCAGAGAGGGCTGGAGCTTCTTTGGCTGTGGGGTTGACTGCAGTAACAGATCTTCTGAAGGCTGGGCAGGTGAAAGGCAGAGAGTTTGTGACAGAGCAGTAGGCATTAAGTAGATGAGCTATATAAGCACTGACAGTTATGTACCTATTAGGGCATTATTTTAATTTGAGCTGATCTTAATTTTCAAAACTAAACCTGAGAAAGTCCCTTCTTCAGAAACTGCTGAATAAGCAGAAAGAGTCCACCTGGACATACTGCAATAAGCAGAGCAGCAACCTCAGAGCTGCCTTGCATGTTTAAACGAACAGAACTGCTAAGCAAGCACTCCGTCACTACCACAACCTGCCAAATACGTTGTGTTCTTGCAGCCACCTGCTCTTTATTGTCACTCCTCTACCGAGCTAGTTGCATGAAGAAGAAAACTGGGGTGTTCCTTTACCTGCCAAGAAAAAAGATCTGTCTTTGCTTGTAAACAATTGTAAACAATTACCGACTTCCTTGCACCATGCTACTAAATACAGAATGCATGGTGAGTTTTCTTAGGAAACTGGTTACAGCTTCTAGGGTGTATGCTTTTCAGTGACATCCTTTGCCTGTGTGAAAGAAGTAAGGTGGTGGAGCACTCTGCTTGTGTGCGTTCAGGGATATGGGTACAGATGCAGTCTGGTGTACCTAAGAGCTAACTAGTGCCCATGTCCGTAGTAGTACCCGACCACGGGATTTTGGGAACTTCTTTGATGGGCAGTAACTGCATTTCATTACCATGTCTACACCTTTGTAACTTTTAAGATCTTGTGATACATGTTGTGATCTGTAAGTGTTTTATAGAAGACAGTCTTTCAGATTCTGTACTATATCTTTTTCTGTAGTTCTCTGGACCATTAAGAGGGACAGAGGGGTTCCTGTGATTTAACCTTGAAGTCATAATGAGGGAATAGTTTGTTAAATTTGCCTTGTTTAATTAAGAGTATAAAATTGCTTCTCTTCTGTTGTTTCAAATGCTTCTCCTATGGCTGAATTCAGCCTTTAACCACACAGATTCCTTAAAAAACAGTACTTCCTTCTATATTTAATAGCTGTGCAGATTAAATGAGATCTTTATATACTTAAATGTGACCTTTTGTTTTGTTTTCCTCTTGATAGAAACAGTACGACCCAAAACACCACCTGTTACAATAAAGCCTCAAATAAAATCTCAAGAGGTAAAAATGCTGTTATATTTTGACTGTTATTTAGTATGTGAAATTGATACTTAATAAGTAATTATATATCCTTTTGACGAAGTTGTGCTATAAAACAATAATACCTGACAGTCCTAACCTGCTGCTGTTCTGCTTAGATATTGATTTTTAGTGTGTACATTTTAAACTCCTTTTCAGTAGAAAAACAGTAGTTTATCTGAAGAATATGTTCTTTAGTATCCTGGATGTTACATTTAACTGTGTTTTTACTCTGAAGAGTGACATCTCCAAAATGATTGGAGTAGAAGGTTGTATATTTGTGTGCCATGTTCTGTCCAATTCTTCACCAGTTGTCAGGCTTAAGTACCAGAAATCTAAATGATGCATTGCAATAGCAACATTATTTTATTGCAACAGCAAGAAGAGTTTTGCTTGATACTGCAAAAACTTTTAACTTAGACACATAATGACCCTTGTTAATTTCTGGATTGTAAAATCGGTGTCAGAAGCACTCTTGGCAGAAGCAGAGCTGTGCATTCACTTGCCAGTAATATGCAGTGCACTAAATAAAGCTATAAAGATTTCCAAAAAACAGTCCTCTCTGAATCTTATTTGTGTGTAGAAAACTGTTACTGAATTGTGGTCAAAATTTAATATTAGTCTTAGGTACTGCTCTAAACTACTTCTGAGTTTATTGTTGTTTCTGAAGATAGCAGAAATATAATTGAAGTTATTAAGAGAACACACAAAGGAGTCCAGGGTGAAAACTAGACCATTTTTAGTGTATCTAACATTTTTGTTTGTACAAAAACACTCTTCAATATCCCATAAAATATCCCATAAAGAAAAGTACTTGTTGGAGTAATGCATTTGGTTTGTTTCCTCACAGGCTCCATCTAAAAGGCAGGCAGTTACATGAGTAAAAGTATGCATAGGTGACATTTTCCTCCCTTTTTGGATAAACTGATATGAAACTGTCTTACTGCAGGACGAAGAAGAGATTTCCACAAGTCCAGGTGTATCAGAATTTGTGAGTGATGCTTTTGATGCCTGTAATCTGAATCAGGAAGACCTAAGAAAAGAAATGGAACAACTGGTGCTAGACAAAAAGGAAGAAGAGACTTCAGTAGTAGAAGGTAAAGCTATTACTATCTTCTGTGTCTTAAATACAGTCATTCTAAGATAGGTTGATTTTTTTTTTTTTTAATAAATTGTAATTCAATTTAGGAAGGTAGACTTGTGACTGTTTTTCAAAGTGTATGAAATGATCTGCAATGAAATATTGCAGAAATAAATTATGATTCTTACCACAGTCAAACTACATCTAATACAGAATCTCAGCTGTGAAGAGTTTAAATCCAAAGAACCTAGCAATTTTTAGTTGGCTCTTTTATGAAAGTGACAGTGGACTATTTTTTTCTACCTCCTGCTTGCCTTCTCTTTCGTAAGTCCTCAGGTGTATGAATTTTTCTTTACTTGGCATCCTTGTAGGTACAGGACAGTTTTGGAAATCAGGCTACATTTTCTTCTTGTAACACCAGCTAAAAAGGCTGTATTTGCATCAGACTCGGCTTACTGTAAAAGGTTTGCAGGCATTTGCAACAGTTAAAATTTAACAAATAGCTTTGAGAATGATGATAGGATATGAAGTGAGACTTATACTTAATTCAGAAGAACTAGTATCAGTGTAAAAACATTCAAAAAAATCTATGATGATGTGACTCTGGCCATACACAATCGACTGTTTAATGTGAAGACACTTGTATATGTAGATGCTTATCATAAAACAACTTTCAGAATTCATTTTACAATGTTTTGGATATTGCTGGATCCTTGTTTTGTGAAATTATTTTTTTCCAATACATATCCAAGCTTGAGGAATTCTTCAAAGTAGTATCAGTTCCTTTCATCTAGCTTTTTGATGGAAGTGTTTCAATAAGTCATTAATGTGTAATTTGTTCAGAGAAATCTCAGCTGGTCTTACTGACTTGAACTATGGAATTGCGTACCTTCCTATCTAGACTGAAGTACTAACCAGCATGTAACACATCAAACACTCATCTCCTCCCCCACACTATTTTTTTTCAGAGCTAATTAAACCAGAGATTAATAACACAGGAATGCCTTCTGACTCATTTTTTGCCCTGAAGTATGAAATATGATTACCTTTAACCTTGATTAAAGGAGCTTGCTTAGCTACATATGTCATTAAGGAGAATACCTGCTTCTTTTTTGCAAATTAGCCACAGTATTTGATCTTGATTTTCTTTTTTTTAACAGTATATTCAACACACTTAGGAACTTCATTCATTTTTCTCTAGTTTTAAATGTACAAGGGGAGATTCAGTTGATACTAGACTGAAAGACTGTAGGAAATAAGCTTGCAAAGGGATACTTGTTACAACTGATCTCCATGTGTGCTTTTTATATTTTTATTATAGTATGTGCGTAAGAATATAAAGTTGTATATTTACTAATTGCTATATGTGGCCAAGCAGATGAAATTTCTGATCATGAAGTTTATTTAGTTTTTAAGGAGAATTGTCCATAAAGTTCAGGAAGTGTGAGAGATACTCAGTGCAAGTTCATATAGTCTTATATAAATAATCAACATTCTGCATTATCTATTTAATTCTTACACATAATTTATCTCTTGCAGAAGAAACTGCTGATTGGGAAAAGGAATTACAACAAGAGCTTCAAGAGTATGAGGTGGTGACAGAATCAGAAAAGCGAGATGAAAACTGGGATAAAGAAATAGAAGAAATGCTGCAAGAAGAAAATTAAGCATTTTCAGAAAATCACTATAAACTAAGCTTTTTCTTAGGACTGCCATGGATTTCTGCTTTCATATTTTGCTTACAAAAGATCTTTAAAAGACATAAATGAATCTTAAATCATTATAATTCCCTATGGGGATACAACCAATATTTCTGTTCTTTATATGAGCAGTTTCTGAACTTCTACATTCTTCAAAAGAAAAGGAAAAAAAAAAAAGGATGAGGCAGACACTGCAGGTTATACGTCATGATTAAAAGTGGTAACATTATTACATGAAGCAACAGTTCAGTCTGAGGCATTTGTAGGTTGTCAAGAAGATCTGCAGAGATACCTAAATCTAAAAATCTCAGTTTGTCTACAGCTTGGGATGTAAAAATGGATGTTGTAAGTACCTTTGTTCTTGAATATAACTTTCTCATTATATTTGCACTCTGATCCCTGTATAATCTGTAAATGTGTACTATTTTAAGGTACTTGTAGCGAGTAGCTTTCATGTGTATTTAACTTCCTTAATGTATGTAGCCAAAGAATTTACAGAAAACCCTATCAAATAACTTCTTATAATTTCTTTTAAAAAATACTAATTCAGACTCTAAAGGAAGTACTGGTTAATTATTGATCAGATTTGATTAACTGGCAAACATTTAAGCATTTAAATAAGAACAGAGTTATTTAGTGCTTGAATTAAACCACTGTTTCTGTCAAATCATAATTTTAAGATACTGCCTTCCCCTATAGAGAGAAATGGTTTAATGCATTCTTTCTTCAGAAGACTCTTACATTTTTATTTAATTTTGCTGTGTGAGTGAGAGTAAATGAAACATTTTAAGTGCTGAAAGATTTATGTAAAAACTTTGGCTGGTTTGGACATCTTTATTAAATACTGTAGATATGTATGAAATTGACTCATTTATTTGGAGGGAGGGCAAAGTGAGGGGCAAAAATATTTCAGATTTCAAAAATATACTTTGTCACAGTGCTTAAGACATGGAACTTAACATCTTTTAAAGAAAACTCTTTTTTGGTTTTGACTCTTCCTTATCATCTGGATGTTTCCAGTAGTTTTACCATTCTTAGTACCGTTACGTATGTAAATGAAGATCTGATGTTCTATTTGTCATCTATTTTATAAATTTCTGTGACAAAATATTCTTGAAATTCCAATTATGTAGGAAAAGGGGTGAATTGAAGTACATAGGAGCCATTAAGCACAATTGAATTATAGGCATATAGAGTAAGCTCTGTCTTAATTATATAATTCTGCAGAAAACTTTTGTAGAGAGACTGAAAGGATTATAGCTGTAATTATTCAGTCAATATTCATCCTGTGGGAGCTGAAAAGAGCTAAGCAGTTTTAACTGCTGTTAACTGTAAGAAAGGACTGTTTAAAATTGTCTTTAATTAGCAACTTAGGCAGAAAGCCCTCTTGTATTTCTCATCATGGAAAATGAATTATTTTAATCCATACTTCTCAAATTAGTTTCTTTACTACCATACACTTTCTCAGCTACAAATCATCTTAGCTATATTTGTATTTTATGCATTTCACTTTTATTTAATGAATGCAAGATAAGTTGAGGTAAAGGCCACAAAAGTTAAATCTGTTACGCTCATAAAGATCAGACTATTCAAAGCTTAATGTTTACTTTTGGCAAACACAACTGCTCACAGATTGAAGCTGGAGATATTAGGATCTGTCTACTGTAGTTTGACACACCACCTTCTAAAAAGATGGGTAGTTCTATTCTGATTCATAATACTCAGAGCTCAAAAGTGCTGTTCCAAATGTCCACTTCCTTAAAAACTAGCTTGATCATTCCTAGTGTCTCCAGGTACGTGACAGTATTTGCATGGCATTTGTACATCAAACCTCATCTATCTTTTCATGTAAGCGGAGCCTATATAATGGCTATAGACACGAAACTCCATGTTTCATAAAAGGTGGCTACCTACGTATAAAACTTTAGATTTCCAAGTCCCAAGAAAAGAAATTAAGTCTAAAAAAAACCCACAACAAAACACTACTATTTACATTTGCATTTTAAAAGGCAAGGCTTTACCTGAATGATCTCTGATATTTAAAGTCTCGTATCAAAAATCTAAAGTATCTAGTTTTAACCTGGAAAACTGAAGTAAGTTTTGTGTAATCCTGCAGAGTTTTCAGGGCTAACCCATGCCTTTCATTAAGGTTAGTGCTTTAAGCTCCTAGCAGGCTTTATTGTGCATGGTAAGAGAAGATGTCTGTGTTGCACTTGTCACATGAGATTAAAGCAGATGACCTCTTCACATTCATGCTGAATGTTGTAGGCCTCAGTATCCCAGATGTGTCGTAATAATGTATTTCATAAGCAAGTATGCTGGCATTTTCTTATCATTCCAAGCACTGAGACAGTGCAGATGCTAAAATCCAGCAAAACAACAGTATGAAATCAAGGACCAAACTAAAAGAAACCAAGAATGGTGTATGTAATATCAACCTGTGGAGACAATGTAACAGAAATGCAGTTGTTTGAATACCAATGAAAAGCAAACAAACAAAAAGTTGTTAGTAAGTTTTCTTAGAAGAAACTAAACTTGCAGCTTTTGGAATTAACCACTGAGAAACAGGGAAAAGATATACCAGGATCCATTTAGGTTGTCTTAGAACAGTGATACAGCTGTACCCCGTAGACATACACAAATGTATGGGACCAGGTGGGATGCACCCATGAGTGCTGAAAAAGCTGGTGGGGGTGCTCACCAAGCCACTTTCCATCATTTATCAGCAGTCCTGGCTGACTAGAGAGGTACCAGCAGACTGGAAATCAGCCAGTGTAACCCCCATATACAAGAAGGGATGGAATGATGATCCAGGAAATTACAGGCCTGTTAGTCTCACTTCAGTAGCAGGAAGCTGATGGAGCAGATCATCCTAAGTACCATTATGGGTACATGCAGAACAGGCAGGTGGTCAGTCCCAGTCAGCAGGAGTTCATGAAGGGCAAGTCCTGTTTGACTACCTGATCTCTTTCTATGACAGGGTGACCTGTTTATTGGACAAAGGAAGGCATGTGGATGTTGTCGACCTTGACTTTAGCAAGGCCTTTGAGACAGTTTCCCACAGCATTCTCCTAAAGAAGCTGACTGCTCATAGTTTGGATGTGCACACATCTTGCTGGATAAAAAAACTGGTAGAACGACTGCATCCAAAGAGTTGTGCTGAATGGAGTTAAATCCAGTTGGGGCCAGTCACGAGTGGTGTTCCCCAGAACTCTGTGCTGGGGCTGCTTCTGCTTAACATCTTTATTGATTACTTGGATGAAGGGATAGAGTGCACGCTCAGTAAGTTTGCAGATGACACTAAGTTGGGTAGAAGTGTCAAGCTGCTTGAGGGTAGGGAGGCTCTGCAGAGAGATCTGGACAGGCTTGATCAATGGGCCAAGGCCAATGGCATGAGTTTCAATCAGGCCAAATTATCAGGTCCTGCACTTGGACCACAACAACCCCCAGCAGGGCTACAGGTTTGGGGAAGAGTGGCTGGAGAGCTGCCCAGCAGAGAGGGACATGGGAGTATTGGTTGACAGCTGGTTGAACATGAGCCAGCAGTGTGCCCAGGTGGCCAAGAAGACCAATGGCATCCTGGCTTGTATCAGGAATAGTGTGACCAGCAGGACCAGAGAGGTGAGCCTGCCCTCTACTTGGCCTTGGTGAGGCTGCACCTCAAGCACTGTGTGCAGCTTGGGGTGCCATGGTATAGGAAGGACATGGAGGTGCTGGAGAGGGTGCAAGAAGGGCGGCTAGGCTGATGAGGGGTCCGGAGAACAGGTCTTATGAGGAGAGGCTGAGGGAGCTGGGGCTGTTCAGGCCGGAGAAGAGGAAGCTGAGGGGAGACCTTATTGCTCTCTACAACTACCTGAGAGGAGGTTGTAGTCAGGTGGGTGTTGGCCTCTTCTCCTTAGTGCCTAGCAATAAGACAAGCGGAAATGGGGTCAAGTTGTGCCAGGGGAGGTTCAGGTTGGATATTAGGAAAAGTTTCTTCACAGAAGGAGTGGTGAGACATTGGAACAGGCTGGCCAGGGGGATGGTGGAGGCATAGTCTCTGGAGGTGTTAAAAAAAAAAAGGTGGAGGTGTTTTATTGGTTAGGGGTTGCAGGGCAGATGGTTGGGCTTCATTATTTTGAAGGTCTTTTCCAAACTTGATGATTCTATGATTCTTCTGAGATACCAACATCTCCAGTTATTCTGTGCACCGAAGTATCCTGTTTACTAGTCCGGCTGCTATTAGTTAATATGTGTATGGAATTTTTTGACTCAGTAGTTTGTTTAGAGGAGGAAGAAGAGGAAAGATTATAAAAAGCTGGAATTAAAAAAAAGTGTAGTAAAATGTTCCTCCACATTTTTATTGAATCATTTACAGCTGTTCTCTAAAAAATGGTTAACCAAAGCTTTCAACTTCCTGAATTGTTTCAGTAAACTTTAAATTTCCTCTATTCTCAATTCAATTTGGTCATAAAACTTTTTTTTTCTCCTTGCTGTTTGGTTGTCTTGGTGTTTGTTTGGTGGGGTTATGTATGTAGTACTGAAGGGCAGCATGTCAATATTAATGCATTTACAGAATAACCCTATGCACAGGAGCATATCACCTGGCCCTGAGATGTGTCCTTGAACTGTTGGTCGCTCACATACTATTGACTTTTACGTTGCAATAGGTATTACACAGAAGGGAACAAAGTGTGTCTGGTTACTTCTCAGTACACTGACAAGCAGTAGCAGCCACCTTGGGCCCTTAGCCCATGTGCTGTATCTAGATTTTAGTTGGACAACTACAGTGTCAAAATCCATACTGATAATGGTCTGGGTTTCAATTCAGTTGAAGTTTAGAAGAAAGATATATTGTATGGCCTGAGACTGTCTCAGTAAGTTCTGATTGGTGTATCTGTAACAACTGCATCATAGCTTAGCCTTAAATAATGTTATCCATTAGTAGATTTTTGTTCCAAACTACTAATTTTTTATGTTTTTTTCCT